ACGGTCACAGCTGGTTTTCTATTGCTGTAATAAACAGAGTGACCTACAGCAACAGGGGGAGGAAAGGGCTTATTTGGCTTACACATCCAAATCATAGTTCATCTCTGAGGGGAGTCAGAGCAGGAACTCAAGCAGAGCAGGGGCCACGGAGGGGTACTGCTTACTAACCTCCTTCCCAGAGCTTACTCAACTTGCTGTGTTATATGACCCAGGACCACCTGCTTAGGGTGGGTAGGGCCTGCCCACATAAACTACCAGTCAGGAAAATGCTCCATAGACATGTCCATACATCAGTTCCATGGAGGCTCTCTCTTCCCCGGAGATTCTAGTCTGTGTCAAATTGACAAAAACCTAATGTGCACAGATGGTCATCCCTAGACATGATGGGGGAACGGTGGGGGGTTGGCTTCAGGAGCAACACAATTTCCAAATCATTGGCTGCTCGAGTCCCGTACATAAAATGATGTAGTATTTGCACATAACACACACTCACTCACACACACACACATACACACACACACACTCTCTCTCTCACATATGTTACAATCATCTCCATATTACTAGTGTAATACCAAGTCCATATAATTTTCATACTGTGTAGTTCAAGGAATAATGACAGTATAGATACAATTAAACATTTCCAATCTCTAATATTGCTCTAGTGTTCTATACTTTCCTCCTTATCAAGATAGCAGTTCTATTCAATTATATGGGTTTAGTTCCATATTCTAAGTTCTGTAGAAAACCTGGGTTCGGGTAGGTGCACCCCCTCCCTGCCTGGAGAGCCCATCGTGTATTTATGTTTTGGGAAGCAGGGTTTTCACTGCAGGGGACGCAATGAGGGGAAGGTGTGGCAAAGCTGTTTTGGCTGACATGGCACACACACAGCTGCCTCCTGCTGAACTGTGGCTGGCAGGTGCTAGCGCCACTCTGTGCGACAGATATTGGTTTGATCCTCTGTTTAAAACTTGGACTACACTCTGTTTATGCTGTGATGCAGCAAGAAACTCACAAGTTCCCCATACACTGCTCCTCCTGGAGACATCTGACCTAACCCTCATCATGAGAAGTGAGTCAGACAAGTCTAGAATGCAGCATGACTTGCAGGAACTCTGGGACTTCACGAAGGGCAGAGGGAGGTGATGGGATTGTGTGAGAGGAAGGAAGAAGAATAAGACACTGTAGTTTTTTCTTTTCCTCTTTGGAGGCTCGCCACCCAGCTCCCAAATAAATACACAGAGACTTATTCTTACTTACGAATGCCCGACCTTAGCTTGGCTTGTTTCTAGCCAGCTTTTCTAACTTAAATTATCCTGTTTCTCTTTAACTATGTTTTGCCTCTGGACCTTTTACCTTTCTTTATTCTATATAACTTTCTTTCCTTCTTTCCCCATGACTTGCTGTGTGACTGGGGGCGTTGGTGGCGCACGCCTTTAATCCCAGCACTCAGGAGGCAGAGGCAGGTGGATCTCTGTGAGTTTGAGGTCATCCTGGTCTTCAAAGCTAGTTCCAGGACAGCCTCAAAACAACACAGAGAAATCCTGTCTCAAAAAACCAAAAAAGAAAAAAAAAGAGTAAACAAACAAAAATACAGTTTACTTTAAAATTTCAAAGACCATTAATACTGGAAAAGGTTTTGCTTAGTGAAATAAATGACCAAGGCACCGTGACATAAAAGAAGGATGGTGAGAAGAATGTATTAGACAAATCATTTCACATAAAAAGATGAAAAAGCTAGATAGACTATTGGCAGTTAAGAGCCCTTGCTGCTCTTTCTGAGGACCCAAGTTTGGGCTCTGCACCCACCTGCCAGCACAGAATACCTGTAACTCTAATTCCGGAGGATCCGATGCCCTCTTCTGGCCTCTGACGGTAACCACACACACACACACACACACACACACACACACACACACACACACACACACAGGGTACTTAAACTTATGCTCACACACACGCATACATTTAAAACTATTCTTATTAGACGAAATATTTTGATCATGATATTTCCCAACTCCAGACTCCTCTCAGATCCTCCCTGCAAAAGACCAATAAGACAAAAAATGCCTCCCCCCACGCCACAACAACAAGTCCACAGAACCAAAAACCAAAAGCAAACAAACCAACACCACAGAGTTTAGAATGCATTAACCAGTTATCCCCATGCGTGAGGCCTGCCCTGTGGCGTGATTGATAATACTCACCAGGGAAAACTGATGTCTCCTTTGCCAGTGGGTAGCAATTGCAGATAGCTTCTTGGTTAGGGGTGGGGCCTGGTGTCCTCCTTTCCCTCTCAGTTCTGGGACCCTGTTTGGTTTGAGGCTGTGCAGATTGTACGTGCACTGCCACAGGCTCTGTGAATTTGTATGTGCATCAGTCCCCTTGTGTCTGGAAGACACCGTTTCCTCAGAGTCACCCATCACGCCTGGCTTTTCCGACCTATCTGCCTCCTCTGCTGAGTAGATAACTCCCCGTCCCCGGGGGGAGGGGTTTGATGAAGACACTCTGCTTAAGACTCCATGCCTCAGAGTCTCCCATTCTCTGCTCATCGTCCAGTGAGTCTTACAGAGTCGTTAAGAAGGAAAACAGAAAGCACTCTTCAGAATGCTTGCTCAAAGACAGCTGGCTTTTCCTAGGCTTCATCTTCCAGTTTCTCTTCAGATACAGGGCCTTACCATGTAGCCCTGGCTGTCCCGGAACTCTCTCTGTAGACCAGGCTGACCTCACAGAGATCTTACCTGCTTCTCCCTCTCAAGTGTTGGGATTAAAGGCGTGAGTCACTACACCCAACCAGTCTTCATCATCCTAATTCTGATGGCCAGACATCAGAACTCACCAGAACACTGTTCTGAGGCCAGGAAGCTGGGCCATACGGATCCATCCTTCCACGATGCAGGCCAGTCAGAGCCTCATCTTGAGAAAATTCTGGCAAAATTCTAACGTTTTGCTGTTACAATGGATGAGAAGACTTCATTTGCTAATTCTAACATTTTGCTGTTACAATGGGTGAGAAGACTTCATTTGCTAATCTTTCCTTACAGCATTGGCAGTGAAGCTTAGCGTTGCTTAATACTGACTGTTTCTCTTTCACCTCCTCTGATTTTCTTTTTACCTCCCTATTATTTTTTTCTCCATTAAACCTCTTGTCATTTTTTTCTAATTGCCCAGAAGGAGTCTGTATAACATTCTCACTTTTTTTCATTAGTTTGTCTTAACTGTTAGAAATAACTCCCCAAATTTGGCACACATCTTTCCATTTTGTTTGAAGATATGTCTTGTTGTAACAGATGTTTTTAGTACGCTTTACTTTTATCATCTAAAAAAGTACTGATTTAAGGAAAGCAAATACTCCTGGGCTTCCTGTAAAGCCAGTTAACTCGAATACTATTGAAAAGAATCATAGTCTCCAGTCAAAGGAAATGGGGCATACGAAGCCAGCCCATAGCTTCTGGCACCATCTTGCAAATCACAACTGAATTAGACTTTCCTGTGTTATCTGTACAAGGCTGTGATTAATCACAGAGGTGATAGACACTTGGACTGTGCCCATCAGACTCCAATCATCTAGGAAAGAGAAGACTGTCTTCCAAAATGTCTGTCAGAGCTACAGCTCTGTGAGGTTCTCACAGACACAGTAAGAGCTACCCCGACATGCAAGGTCTGCTGTGTTCATTATGAGAACGTCCCAGGTCAGAGCCTACTTTGAAAAAAAATGAGATGAAAGTACTAGGAATGATCCCCTACAACCCCACCACTCAGGAGGCTGAGGCAGGAGGATTGCCAGTTGAAGACCATTCTGGGCTGCACAGTGAGCCTCAGGTCAGTCTGGACTTTGCAGTGACACCGTGTCTCAAAGGATTAAAAACAAAACAAATGTGAGGAAGAGGACAGATCTCCTAGTGTTCCTTTCTAAGCCCCAGCAGAAGGGAGTGGAGTGGAGATTGGCAGAGGGGGATGTTTTACATCACTTCCACAGGGGTCACGTGGTACTCAAGGCCTTCTTGGGATTCTCCTCGAAGACCACTCGGTGGCTTCGCCTCAGTTGTCTGGCCTGAGCATACACAGAGAGAAGAGAACGGTCCCGGGGCCGTCTCTTGTGATTTCAAATGCCAGATGTTTCTTTGAGTGATCACACTGTTTCTCATTTCGTTTTGCTTAGAGACAGTTTCGCTGTGTAACCCAGACTGTCCCCAACCTTGATGCCCTACAGCCTCAGCCTCCCAGGTGCTGGGATTGGGAGTGTTTGCTTTTGCACTCAGTTGGCATGCGTGCTTCTGAGAGAACCCCGGATGTAATTTTCTCCATGCCGCCTCATATCTGGGCACCATCTACTTCCCCAATCCACTAGGAATGTCTTACTCTTACCCCAACACCCAAGTTCTCTAATGAGAAAAGAATTCAGGATCTTCTTTGAAATTAAAAAATGGCAACTGAAGTTATAGCCCTCGTACACACACACACACACACACACACACACACACACGTGCGTGTGCACATGTATCTGTGTGTGTATGTGTCCCTGGTGAGTTGCGTCTTGTGGCCCCCAGCAGCATCTGCTCACTAGACGAATTGTTTTCTCCCTTTCCTGGCTAATTCACCTACATCCCAGGATCTCCTCCCAAGTATGCTACTTGCCTCCAAAGTCCTTCCACATCCCTGCTCTGTTCTTAGAACTCTTGCCAGACTGGCAAACTGGGCTTTGGGGTTTTCTGTTTCCTTTTCTGCCAAAAGGAATAGGACACCGACATTTAGAGCTTGGCAGCTCCAGCAGCCGCATGGCACTAGCGGGGCTCCTGGGCCTCCACAAGTTGGTCCCTGGACCCCCAGACCCACCCTATCTACCTAGCTTCCCGCTCTTGACTATCATCCGCTTCCGTTAAGATGCTTCAGTGAAGGAGGCTGTCCTGTTGTAGGCAGTGACTTAGTGCCCCTGAACGAGGAGGGAAGGTGTGTGTATCAGCTACTTTTCTGTTGTGATAAAATGCCATGGCCAAAAGCAATTCGTGGAGGAGAGAGTTTATTTTGGTTTATGGCTCCCCAGGGATAAGAGTCCATTCTGGCAGGGAAGCCTGTCAGTGATTGGCAGGTGGGAGCGAGGGGGCTGAGAGATGGCATCCTGTACTGCAGGCATGAAACAGAGAAAGCCAACTAGAAGCGGGATGAGGCTATGAACTCTTTCTCTCTGTCTCTGTCTCTGTCTCTGTCTCTCTTTTGAGACAGGGTTTCTCTGTATTGCTTTGGTGCCGGTCCTGGAACCAGCCCAGGCTGGTCTCAAACTCATAGAGATCCGCCTGCCTCTGCCTCCCGAGTGCTGGGATTAAAGGCATGCACCACCACCGCCCGGCAGAGGCTGTGAACTCTCAAAGTCTTCCCCCGTGGCATATTTCCTCTGGCACTTCCTAAACCTCTCCCAAACCTCTCCAAACAGTGCCACAAACTACAGGCCAAGCGTTCAGATGCTTGAGCCTGTGGAGCGCATTTCTCGTCTCCATCACCGAAGAGGAGCGATGGGGACACAAATCTCCGGAGAGGGTGACCCGCCATGGCGAGGGCATACGGGTCTCTGGTGGTCTAATTGCAGTCCAGGGCACTCTCATCCGCTGAGCTACGACGATTAGGAAGCAGCAGGGCTAGCACTAAAAGCTGGCTTTGAAGCCCAGAGGACTCTCTCGGAGGGCGTCAGCGTCTGCAGTGAGTTGACAGATGGACAGAAGTCTTGTCTAGGAAAGCGGAGGGGGACGGGGCGCACAGCAGTGAGACCTTCCGTTCAACCCACACCGGAGAAATCCAGAGTTGGCCTCACCTGGAGTCGCTCAGAGTGACGGAGAAGCAGGCTGGGGGTGAGGTGAGAGGCAAAATGCAGGCTAGAAAACCTAGGAGCATCCCTAGAAAGTTCTAGACAGTTGGGCTCTGTCCTAAGACAACAGGGAGACTCCAAGGGCTTTGGGGGGGTGTTTATCTCTCTCTGTTTGGGTCTTCAGGCACCCCTCTGCTGAGGATGGAGGAGCACTGACAGGAAGGGGTGGGGCCTGATAGAAGAATAACAATGAAAAGAGAGACCCGTGGGTCAGAGATGGGGCTGGGCAAAGGTGAAAGGTGAGAGGCGGATAGGAATTGCAGGAGTTGGTAGGATATGGTGGCTGATCGATTACTTGGATGGGTAAGGTCAAGTTTTCCAGGTGCCTGCCTTGAGCAACTGCGGGTGATTGTGCCTTCCTTACAGAGGGGCAAGGGGCGGGGGCAGGCTCATTGCTGACGCAGGTGCTGACAAGCCTGCGGGAGCTCAACTGTCCCGTCTGACCGAGTTTTGCTGGTGTGCGTAGCCCTGCCAGGCACTGTCACAGTGGGGGCAAGGGGAGGCAGCGTGGGACCGTAGGCGGAATCACGCTTGACGACAAACACGGGTTCCTGCTGCATAAGTAGACTTTCTCTTCCTTTGAAAAAGAGCGCTACTGCGGCCCTTACCACAGCCCTTACCACAACGTCAGAGCCCTGCTTCCCAAGCACAGCTGCGGTGGCTTGAACGAGGTGTCCCACAAAGGCTATTGGGACGAGGAGGAGCCTTGGGGAAGGGGGTTAGGGCACTGGGGTCATGTAGAAAGGGACCTGGGAGCCCTTCTGCTTCCCACCTGTCACAGGGCGGGCAGCTTCCATCCGCTACTATTCCCACGGCGGTGGGCTGCCACGCCACAGGCCCAGGGGCAGCGGGGCCAAGCCACCGTGGACTGAACTCTTGGAAACTGTGAGCCCAGATGAAGAACCTTGTCTCCTCACGGATTGGTTGTCTCGCCACAGCAGCAGAATTCTAACACAACCTCGAGCGCATGCACGAGAGCGACGGAGGCAATACGCCGTGGATACGCCCCTGATCTCCGCTGAGGCCCCCCGCGTTTGGGGGGCTACTCCCCAGCTCCCGTGAACCCCAAATACTCAGTTCCAGAGTGTGCGGGTGCCGCGTCCTGCAAACAAAGCCACGCTTTCCTGCTTTAAGTCAGACTTCTGGGCTTTGGAAGGGGTGGCGGTGGGCGAGGGGTAACCAAGCAATTACTGAAGGCCAGCGACTCCTCCTCAGTGATCTCCTGGATGCTCTGGAGGGACGTGCATCTCTCTTTCCCGACATCAGCGGTCCACGAGCGCTCTTCCGTCACCAACACCTCACAGCTTGACTTATCGACTGGGATTTCAAACGTGGTTTCCGGCCAGTCCCTGTATATGTCTACGGAAGCATCCACGTCCTCCGGTGAGACTTCGTCTTTGGCTATGAGGCATTGTTCAACGACGATATTTTCAATTCTCAGTTCCTCGGTTCCATAGAGAGGGTCTCTAGCCAGGGAGAGGTCTGGGCTGACCACTCTGATGTGGCACGGCAGTTTCGTGACTTGGCACAGCTCCTGCAGGGTCCCCGGTCCGGCATCATCAAACAGTTCCCTGAAGTCTCCTTCTGCGAACAAGGGCAGTTTGACGTGGGCTTTGGTGGCGATGTTCAGGCACTTGAGGACCTCCACCCTGTGTAGCTCGCCGTGAATCTCCGCGGACATCACGCTCTTCTTCAGAGCCAGGAAGCTCTCATTGGCTGCGAAAGACGCCAAAGGCTCCAGGCAGGAGGTGTAGCCCCTGGAGGACCGGAAGCAGAGCTGTCCCTGTGGCATGGCTGCAGCGACATCAGAAACAGCATAAAAATAGCGACCCCTCCTAAGCACCAGGCCCTGGTAGGTGTATGGGATGAGAAAACGCCTCCCTTTCCTTCCCTGGGAAATCTCTGTGGCAACGAACTTTTTCACGTCTTCAGCCCTGAGGATGGTTAAGCGCTGCCCACACTTCAGAGGCTTGGCGAGGGCCTTGTTCTCCGACAGGACCACACTCATTACTTTAATCCTCACCGGGAATCTGTTTGTTTCCATGCTGCATATCTGTCTCAATGTCGTCAGCGTAAAGGGCTTACAATCCAAGCGGGGCTTACAATCCAAGCTGGCAATCTCAGTGATATGGATATCCAGATCGGAGGGGATGCTCACCTGGATGGCACCTGGGGAAGCCGAAAGGGAAACAGCATGAGGCTTTGGAGAAAGGAGCTGAGTCTGGAGGGAAGCACGGCTAACGGATTCATCAATTTGCACAAGAGTGTAAGCTTTATAACCCTCTTCCATGGGCTGTAACGTGCATGGGGGCCGGAAGGAGGCATTGAAACCCCTGGAACTAGAGTTACATACAGTTGTACACCTTCGTGTGGTGCTGGGTACTGAACCCAGGTTTTCCGCAAGAGCAACAAGCGCTCTTAACTGCTGAGCCATGTCTCCAGCTGGACAAAGAACACCCTTTCAAAGTAGAATCTTACTGCTTCCCAGGTTATCTATCCCTTGTTGTCTGCATTTCCCAAGCAGTCAGGCTGACAGGAACACACCACTGTGCTGGGTAGAGTCATACTCAAATTTTAAGGAAGTTTCAATTTCTTCATCTCTTTGAAATCAGTACCACCTTACTTATTTTTATTTAAAAATTTCAACAAATTTTATGTATATGGGTGTTTTGTCTACATGACTCACATGTGTGCCGTGCCCACAGGAGCCAGAAGAGGGCGTCAGATCTCCTGGAACTGGAGTTACAGACAGTTGTGAGCCGCCTTGTGTGTGCCGGGAATTGAACCCAGCCCCATTGAATGAGCACCCAGTGCTCTGACGTCTGAGCCGTCACTCTATGTCCTCCCCATCCTTTTCGGGCTAGGGGCTGGGCAGGGTTCCATACCTGCTGAGCACATGATCTACCATTGAACCACAGCCTCAGCCCTACCTCGTATTTCAGCAGTAAACACTATTCATTCATCTTTGTAGAAGCCACGTGCTGTAAACCTCAGAAGCCAGAGTGAGGCGGAGGGAGGAAGGGCTCAGCAAAAGTGGGTTAGGAGGAAGCCTGGATCTTAGGTGATTAAGTGGAGAGCTGCTTCTGGAGCTCCCGCACACAGGGGAGAGAGAGAGAGAGAGATAGAGAGATAGAGAGATAGAGAGAGAGAGAGAGAGAGACAGAGACAGAGACAGAGACAGAGACAGAGACAGAGAGACTCAGTCCTTACACCCTTACGCCCAGGTCCCCTTAGGACCGCTAGACCAGCCACTTCTGTCACGCACACAGCTGTTCTCATCGTTTCTCAAAGGCCGAGTAGACCAAGAAAAAAAGACATGAGCTCTGGAGGCATCATGGAGTGAGGGCTGGGGGAGCATGTTAGAGCCAGTCTACACACGGCCAATAAGCAAAGTCTGTAGCACGACAGATGAAGGCAAAAGCTTCCATTGGAAACCATGCATTCTCGCATCCTGCCACGGAGCCAAATTAGTCTTTTACAAGCATTGCCTACTTAAAGGGATCTTCCGGCAAGCAAGCAAAAGTTTTAAGGCTGTGGTAAATTCACACGTAGTGTAACGCGGCATTTCTTTTCTGCAAAGGACAATAAAGTGATGCGGCCTTTGAGAAGACGGAAAAGTGCGTTGGAGTCTGGCTTTCCCACGGACTATAAACAAAATCACAGAATGAATGGGTGGCGAGGGACTAGCTTTCATGATAACACAGGAGAGAATACATCAATAATAAATTCGCCCAAAGGGGAGACTTTTTATTTTTATTGTCTGCTCAAAGCCCATCTGGCTGTCGCCACGGTATGGGTATTTATTAAGGAGATCACACTGGAGCATCTTAAGTCCACTGCAGGAATGTGTTTAAATAGATATGACGATAAGAATTGTAATGATGGGTGGTGGGATGGAGCGGGTGTGTAACTGATGGGGTAAGTCACCCCGAGGGGGAGTGTGTCTCCAGCATCTAATAGCTCTTCATAAATCAAGACGTGAAGCCTGGGAGGTAAGACGTGACCACTTCCTGAAAATGGAATCCTCGCACCCGTTTCTGGGGTTCCTCACCAATCTGCAAATCTTTGGGCCTCGGCAAGTTGCCTGCGCCCAGCCTACAGCCACTGCTATTTATTCAGTTCCCTGTCCTTGAAGCAAACTCCCTTCCACACCTGTAGGGGGCAGCATTCTTGCTTTTATTGCCTGTGGCATGGGCGTTTGTCCTGCGAGGGTTTCTGTTCTGGAGAGGTGGCATTAGACATGGTGGAATCAAGATAGTTAGTGCTCCTGGAACCCGTTGTAGAGAGGGAGGAGTGATGAGCAAAGGGGTCAAGACCGGCCTCGGGGAAACCCACAGAGACAGCTGACCTGAGCAAGGGGGAGCTCATGGACCCCAGTTGGGGAACCAGCATAGGTCCAAACCAGGCCCCCTGGTGTCAGCTAGAAGGCCTGGGCAGTCTCTGTGGCCTCTGGTAGTGGAACAGTATTTATCCCTAGTGCATGAATGGGCTTTGGAAGCCCATTTCCCATAGAGGGATACTCTCTCAGCCCAGATACACTGGGCAGGGCCTAGGTCCTCCCCCAAATGATGTGACAGACTTTGATGATCCCCCATGGGAGGCCTCACCCTTCCTGAGGAATAAGGATGGGGTGGGGTAGGGGGCTGGGAGACATGGGAGGGAGAGGGAACTGGGATTGATATGTCAAATAAGATTGTTTCTAAATTAAATGAAAATATTAAAAAAAGATAGTTTGTGCTCAAGAGAGGGGTACAGAATAGTAATATGACCTCCTCACCGCCCTCCTTGTCTTGCCAGGTGATCCTTTCTCTGTAGCAAAAAACAATGCCGCGGGGCAGTGGTGGCGCACGCCTTTAATCCCAGCACTCGGGAGGCAGAGGCAGAGGCAGGCGGATCTCTGTGAGTTCGAGGCCAGGCTGGGCCGACAGCCTCCAAAACAATATAGAGAAACCCTGTCTCGTAAAAACCAAAACCAAAACCAAACCAAAACAAACAAACAAACAAAAAAAACAAAAAACAAAAAACAATGCTACGATGCCATCTGCCAGGAAATCCCCGTCAGAGCTGGTGCCATGCTGTTTGGACTTTCAGTCTCCGAAGCCAGGAGTTACGAAACCTCGTTTCTCTGTAATTGTCCCGGCCTCAAGTTTTCTTGTTCTAGCAACAGAAAACAGACCAATGCACGCTCCAAACTATTTGGCCCCACTCACCTGGCAGGTGCGCCACGACCGAGAAATAGGGGTGCAAAACTAGATGACCATTAAAGTGCTCTGGAACCAGCGGGTTAAGAAGCCTCAGGCGATGCCCTGCCTCCACCCGAACTCTGCGTTTCCTCCCTGCGAGCAGCTTCCACCTGACGATGGCGTCCATGGAGTAGAGCTGCTCATCCTGGCACTCCTGGAAGTGGCCCCTGCAGTCCATGGGCAGGAGCAGCCTCAGGGGAGGGTCCTTCCGCGGCGCCTCGCAACGCAGCAGCCTCCTCCCCTGCCTCTCTTCCAAGCCGATCAAGGACAGCGTTTCTCCACTCCCGAGCTTCGTGGGCCCGTCAGCCACCGAGATGGGGACTAAGTTCTGGAAGCGGGGAGGACTTCTGTGGGTCGTGGGACTCTGGGGAAGGCGGACGGAGCCGACTAAGTCAGCCACAGTTTCAAAAGAGACGGGGTCTGCAATCAGTTGGAAGTTCCCTGCAGAGAGAGCAACAGAAAAGAATGGTTCGGGGTGTCCATGCACCGTGCTCCCGTCCCCACGTATTTCCGTTTGGAAATACGGTGGTGGCTATTATCATTGTTTAATACAGTCCTCTCACCTCCTGCTGGGCTCCAAGGATACGGAGGACCTCAGAGCCGGCCTCTCTCCATCCTGCAGCCTCTATGGCAAACCAGAACGCAGCGCCTCTCCTGTTGGAGAAGACTGTGGCGCCTCCAGTCTCTCACCTTCCCAAAGACCACCACAACAGCTCCAGCAGCCCTTCCAGTGCTCAAGACCTCCGGTATCTCTTGTCACCACCCAGGCTACTCCCGTCCCTAGCTCATTGTTCCTTGCATCTCTCCCAAACGCAGCCGCACCTGGCAGCTCCTCCCCAACACGCCACTTCTCGGCGACAGTCAGACCTTTCTGGACTTGGGACAGTTTATCTCAATTCTTTGTTTAGCTTATACCAGTGAGACGGTTAGGATTTCTGGGGTCACAGTTTTGGAACCCAGAAATTGTTGTCCTGTGTGAAGACGGCGCTGTCTGAAGGACCGCCTTTGCAGACAGGAGAAGAAAAGCCAACACTCCCTGATTGTGTAGCCATCTGCCTCATGACAGATCCCATGGGCACTGCAGCCTGGATCATGTGTGCCCCTCAGTCCCCCAGTGAGTCTCACTGTGTAGCCCAGGCTAGCCTCAGATCTACAGAAATCTGCAGAGAGGAGGAGAAAAGCCAACACTCCCTGATTGTGTAGCCATCTGCCTCATGATGGATCTCACGGGCATTGCAGCCTGGATCATGTGTGCCCCACCCAGTGAGTCTCACTGTGTAGCCCAGGCTAGCCTCAGACCTACAGAAATCTGCAGAGAGGAGAAAAGCCAACACTCCCTGATTGTGTAGCCATCTGCCTCATGATGGATCTCACGGGCATTGCAGCCTGGATCATGTGTGCCCCACCCAGTGAGTCTCACTGTGTAGCCCAGGCTAGCCTCAGACCTACAGAAATCTGCAGAGAGGAGGAGAAAAGCCAACACTCCCTGATTGTGTAGCCATCTGCCTCATGATGGATCTCACGGGCATTGTAGCCTGGATCATGTGTACCCCCACCCCCAGTGAGTCTCACTGTGTAGCCCAGGCTAGCCTCAGACCTACAGAAATCTGCAGAGAGGAGGAGAAAAGCCAACACTCCCTGATTGTGTAGCCATCTGCCTCATGATGGATCTCACGGGCATTGCAGCCTGGATCATGTGTGCCCCACCCAGTGAGTCTCACTGTGTAGCCCAGGCTAGCCTCAGACCTACAGAAATCTGCCTGCCTCTGCCACCCAAATGATGATTTCAAAGGTGTGTGACATTACCCTAGCCTGAGGTTCCCTTCTTAAAGTCACGTTCATTACCGTTTTCGTATCTTGTTGCTTTCTGAAAGACTAGTCATGAGCACTTTTATTTTATTATTTTCGCATGCTATTCTTGTCCTGCTGTGTATGCACACAAACCTTCTTACTATTTGTAAAGTTACCATTCCTCCAATGTCAAGATCCTGTCATTTTTTTCTCTATTGGAAATTTCCATGAGTCAAAAAAAATCTCTATAAGAGTATAATGCTTTCATTTATATTAAAAAAATTCCTTAACAAACGGGAAACATCCTACCAAACTTAACAGTGAATGGTGTCACCAAAGGAAACCAGGCATGTGCTGACAGTGGTTAGGGCGTGTTCTGTGTGTCTGTGTGGATTCACAGCACAGAAGCAACCCCCCAAGTTAATGGCCCCTCAGTCGAGAGCGGTCCATTTCCCTGACCATGGAGGCTGACTCAGAGATGGGCACGTGCTTCAAAAAGACCTTAACAACATTCACCGGGACTTGGACAATATAGTGAGTTCTGTGACAACATCTCATGACCACCCTCCCCCTACCCCTGCTCACGAAGGAAGCTGCACACACTACTCAGGAATGGGGGCCTGTAGTAAAGGGAGGTCTAAACCAAAGAGAATGAGAGACGGGTAGCATTTTCACTGTCCACGCTGTTACAAACTGGGCTGTTCATAAGCACACGACACAAGACTCTGCTTCTGGTGCCAAGGGCCGAGAGAAGTCTGAGATTGCCAACAGATGCTCTGTCTAATGAGAGACTGCTTCCTGGTTCATGGGTGGCCCATCTTCCCTGATGACGTCACATGAAAGGTGAGGCTGGCTCTCTTTTATGAGGAAACAAATTACTATCATCAGGACTCCAGCTAAACACAGCCTAGAGGCACCGCCTCCCACTACGGTGAGGGCTGGGGTTCAGCACACAAAGTGGGCATGGGGGGTGAGCATTCAGGTCCCAGCGGAGAGAGGAGAACAAGCAGGAAAGAAAAGACGCGCATAATTGGCAGACAGCTTCTGGCTCCAGCTAAAGCCGCCCTCCTTTGCCTCAGCATTTTGGTCAAGAGAGTCAGTAATTTCCCTTTGCTATCTAAGCTGTTTTAAATTGCTTTTTCTGTCACTTGGAACTGAAAAGACTCTCCTAATAAATATACCTCTCGGCTCACCCAGGACACTGAGCTCTGGAGCCAGCTCGTGCTCGGATCTCAGTCTGTGTGACGTGTTAGCTTTGTCTCACAAACACTCAGCAGTGGCAACAATTGACATTTAACCCATACCAAGACGTGGTGGAAACAACCGAGTATTTGGAGAAAGTAATTTTTAGAAGCGGTTACAGTTCTCATTGTGGCATCAGGTAATTTTGTTTTCTTTATTTTCATAAGTTGACTAGTTTTCTTTGGTATTATTTATTAGTTACTTATTTGTTTGTGAGACAGGGTCTCCCTACACAGCCCTGTCTGTCCTGGAACTCACCACGTAGACCAGGAGGCTGGCCTCAAACTCAGAAAGATTTGCCTGCCTTGGTGCTGGACTAAAGATGTGGACCACCACACTGGGCTTCTACTTTTTCTTTTTAAAGCAAAAAAGCAACGTTTCCCCACTAAATGCTAAGGCAACATTGACAAAAAAAAAAGGGTTACTAAATTGGACTTCAGAAATATTAAAATGTTTTCTATATCAAAGAACTCTATCAAGAAAGTGAAGACACAAGCTGGGTATAGGGACACATGCTTTTAGTTCCAGAACTCTGGAGGCAGAGCCAGGTAAATCTCTGTGAGTTTGAGGCCAGCTTCCTGGTCTACATGGTGAATTTCAGGACAGCCAGGGCTATGTAGAGAAACCCTGTCTCAAAAAAAAAAAAAGTGAAAACACAATGCATAGGCTGGGTTGAAAATGTTGCCAAATCATACAGAAAGAACACCCAAGACTCAATATCAGTGCAGCTATCTGATTAGAAAAGAGTTAAAAGGTTTGGATAGACAGTCTCCAGAGGGGACAGATGACCAATAAGCACATAGAAATGTGGTCAATTAGTCAGAGGTGATCACTGCACTCCAGCTGGATTGGGGATGGAGAGGTGGCCCAGTGTTTAAGAGCACGTGCTGTTCTTGCAGGGGACCTGGGTTCTTTTTCCAGCATCTATGTTGGGTGGTTCATGGCAGCCTGTATCTCTAGTGCCAGGGGATCCAAAGCTTTGTTCTAGCCTCCGAGGGTACCTGCACTCACGTGGACCCTCTCCACACACAAACAACTAAAAATATAATAAATCCTAAAGAAACACACACACACACAGACACTCATGCACACACACTTGAAAATGTGCGCACACATATACACTCGCACACACGCATGCACTCGCACACGCCCTGTGAAGCACACAGAAAGTCTCTGTGGCTGGTGAGGTTAGGAAGGGATTAATACTTATGTTGCTGGTGGGAATGAAATGGAATACGGCCCCTGTGGAAGTTAGCATGGTGGTGACCCAACACACAATCTAGTGACTCTACTCCTGGGTGTGGAAAGAAGGGACTCAGGACGAGAGAGAGCTCACAGAGACACAGTTCCATCAGTCTACACGCTGCAATTTTCATGGCAGCCAAGACAGGAGAAACCAGAGTGTGTCTTTCCAGGAGGCGGGGTCAGCAAACTACAGTCATAAATACAGTGGGATGTGTTCCGGACAGAAAAAAATCTTCCTCCCAGATAACAGTGTTTCTCAGAAGATGTCTGTGGATTGGTGGCTGCTGGGGGCAGGGGACAGGAGGAGGGACAATTGAGGGTCTCAGGCAGTTAGTAAAAATGCCCTAAAACTGACTTATGCCGATGGGCAGTGGTGGTGCACACCTTTAATCCCAGCAGGCGGATCTCTGTGAGTTCCAGGCCAGCCTGGTCTACAGAGTTCCAGGACAGCTAGGGCTATTACATAGAGAAACCCTGTCTTGAAAAACAAAACAAAACAAAAAAACAACAAAAAACAACAACAACAACAAAACCTGACTTATGCCAGTGATCAGGCAGTTGAGTTTACACTGGAAATGAGTGAACCGTATTATATGTAAAATATGTTCCTGTAAAGCTGCAAACCAAAACAAACAACGGCCCTACTCCAGCAATGTCTCTGGAACTATTTCTCAGAAGAAACCAGGCACAGAGGGGCATGCCAGTCCCAATGGGAGGAGGTGACAGAGCCGTACAGTCTCCCTGCCCCTAATGCCTTCCTCCTCTGCGTGGCTGCTGTCTGTCTGCGTCCTGCTAAGCACTCTTTAGCAAAAGCTTACTGGGTGCAAGCGGGAAATATAACGGAAATCACTGTAATCCGCAGGCAGTTACCGCCTGTCATTTGAACGGCGCTCCATCCGGGTTCTGGGAGTTGGAAGAGGTTGCTATCCTTGTTACCAGAAGGTGTTACTCACCTCGGCAAGTGGGAAATGCCTACCTGCAAAAATGCAAAATGCAGCAGCAGGTTCTGTCCACTGCATTGAACTCAGATGCTGTTCTGTCGTCTGCCGGAGTCATCCTGACCCTCTACATAGCTAAGAAGGGACAGGGACACGACAGCCCCAAGCACTGCCCAGCCCCATCATTCATTTTTCTTTTAGTACCGAGAAAGCTTATTTATTAAG